GGCCAACATCCCTGAGTGGCAAACAGCAGGATGCCACTGCCAGGGTTGGAATAGCTTTGCTTGATCCTGTGTAACCACAAGGCTTTAGTGTGCTGGCAGCCCCCTTACTGCTCATTCTTCTGCTCCAAGGGGGTCACCAGTAGGGCCTCCAAGCAGGGGGAAAAAAAATAAAAAAACAAAGCAACTAAAATCTTGTTGCATACAGAAAGAAAAATACAAGGTTCATGAGCTTTAGAAAAGATAATTAATTATTTCATGGATCTGTCACCTGCACCCTGCTGACATGCTCACAGGACATTCCAATGAACCATGAAAGTTGTTTGCAGCTTGGACCATGTCTGAACAAGATGCAAAGGGGAATTTTGTTATATTTGCCCCATCCAAAAGGCTGCTCAAACCAAGAGTCCAAATTTCATCCTGCATCTCCCTCAAAATGTTCCTTCAAGTTCACAGCACCCAGATACAGATCCCATATTAGCTCTGAATTCAAATGCCTGTGCATTTCCACCAGGACATCCCTAACACACTCAAAAGTTAAGCTTGTATTCCAGCATTTTGTTGGATGGACGCCTTAATCCATCCCTGGGAGAGGAATCAGCAGCTGCTTTACTACTCTCAGACAGAATTCATTTTCCCAGCCTGACAAGCCTTTGTTTTTTGGCTTGCTGTGCTCACAGCCATCTGTTCAGATGGCACGTGCTCCCTTGGAAACTGATCAGGCTCTTTCCTTAGAGCTCGGGAGACAAGCAAAAGGCAATTCCAATCAGCATCCCAGAGGATGCTGCCATAGATGTATCTCCTTCAAAGAATTCTTTCTATTTCTTCAACTCTCAAGGGACCTCTGAGATACTTAACAACACCTGGATGGATTTGGAAGAGGAGAGCTGACTTGGTGGGGAAGAGGTGCAGACACTCCAGGGTGTCTTCTAGCATGTCTGACATCATCTGGGATCTAAGTGAGGAACTTCCAAGTGAGCCTTGGGAAGGCCTCAGGTAACACCACCCACAGGGATGCGATGAAAACAAAGGTCCTTGGGCTGTCACTTCAAGTCCCCAAGTGACAGACATTCATTAGGTGCACATTTGAAAGAAATTCCCTGTGAGGGTGGTGAGGCCCTGGCACAGGGTGCCCAGAGAAGCTGTGGCTGCCCCTGGATCCCTGGAAGTGTCCAAGGCCAGGCTGGATGGGGCTTGGAGCAGCCTGGGATAATGGAAGGTGTCTCTGCCCATGGCAGGGAGTGGAATCAGATGAGATTTAGGGTCCATTCCAACCCAAACCCTTCTGTGATTCTGTGATTCCCTCTTTCCATGACAGTCATTAGAAGAAAGAGATGGTGCTGTCCAGGGTTTCTGCTCAGTCTCTGCCAAAGCTGTGTCCAGTTTCTTGGCCAGGATTAGCTTCCACAGATCTGCTCACTGTGAAACATCCTACAGGAGTCTCAAAAGGACCACAATGCTTATCCCAAATGGATTGATCAAAAGGGCACAGAAAACACCATGACAGGAACATGTTCTAACTGTGCCTACTGACAAGGGATTTAAAAATGAGTTTAAGGACTTGTTGATGGCATAGAGAAGAAAACAGAGGGAAACACTTTTTCCTTAATTCAGTGAATTAAAACCCCAATCTTTCTCAGCAGTGGCTGAAGCACAGTTTATTTGACTACTATTGAAGTGTATCAGAGAATATGTGATGCTTGTTGCTAATAGCATCAAAGAGGAGGAAAAGACAAGCAAAATCAATATCTTTGTTTTTCCTACTCCCAGATTTACACACAGGATCCATTCTGGCCAAAGTATGATCAAAATGTGGATTACAAGGAATTCAAAATATTGACAGAGTCGGAGAATCAAATAAAAACTGCACGTGGCACTCAGTGCTCTGCTGTAATTCACATGTTGGTATTTGGTCAAAGGTTGGACTCTGTGATCTTGGAAGTCTTTTCCAATCTAAATGATTCTTTAAGTGAAAATTAGTCTTTTCCAGTACAAGGATCAAAGCAATCTCCCTTATGCCTGCAAGAGTGGCTACCCCAAAGTTGCCTTTGCAAGAGCAACTCTCCAGGTGGGGATCTTAAACTCCACTGGGGTGTAACTGTGAGTGTCACCCCAAATTCATCTCCAAGGAGCTCCTGAAAGACCAGACTGTTTTGATTTTGTTGTTTTTTTGGGTTTTTTTGTTTTTTTTTTTTTTTGTCTCCAGACCTCCCTAGACCACTATAATTTCAGACAAAGGCAACAACACATGTCTGAGGTATCAACCCATCAAACACAACGTTCCTCCACTGTAAGCCCTGTGCAAAGGAAATTTCCATCTGTCCTGGGTTATCATAAATATTTCCATGCTTGTGATGCTGGGATTACAAAAATAACTGCAATCTGCTGAACATACAGAATTATCTACAGTCTGTCTCTCTTGTATCTCTTCTCCAATCAGTCTTGTCTGAGCCATTTCACAGCCCGACTATTAAACTTTCCACTCTCAATATCCATGTGTTCATGCTCTGCTTGTTGAGGAGGAGAGAGAAACTGCTGAGCCCTCATGGCAGTGAGCAGAACCCAGCTGCCTAATCCTATTTTTCTATTGTTTTGACCACCAGATCTTCTGCCCAGACAGTGTGGTCATTCCCAGAACCTCTATATGTTTGGGGCTATATGTTAACATAGCCAAAGGAGGGTCAGTTTAAGGCTCCACATGAAGTTGATGTTCTTGTTCTAACACTCTTTAAATTATTCCTGCAATGTTGAAATCATCAAAAAGGGACAACACAGGGCCAGTATTCAAAATCCTCATGGTGTCTTAAAAAAGGTGGAATTTCAATAAATGGGCCTGTAAACATGTGTTGAGCTTGCTGGACACAGCACCAGAAAATGGGCAATGTAGAAGCAATCTATTCAGTAGTGTTACATCATTTTTCCATCCACAAAACCTTGTATTTTCAGCTTCAGAGTGCACAGCCAGACTGATGCTGAGTCATGAAAGCCAAAGGGAGCAGAGCTACAATTTAATCCCATTCTCCAGCTCCAGCTAAGAAAAACTCTCCAGGTAAAATAGGAATGGGATGTTTCAATCGAAGCACATATTGACACCTACCTTAGGGGTTAGGGGTTTACTGCCATGCCCATCTGGCACCTGGGGGAAGTGGTTGATTATTTGATGTGCTCATGGGGTTGGTAGTTGCTGCTCTGAGGGATCACCTGTGATTCAATTTGAGATGGGTGTCTGTAATTCCTAAGATGAACAGGTCTTTGTTGATGTGTGTTTCTATCAATACAGGAGCCTAAAAAACTCCCCTGAGCTGGACAGTTTTAAAAAAGGGAAGATAAGAAAAGATAAATCTCAGCCTCATTTCAGAATAGATCTCAGCATGTCTTCATTCCAAATCTAACCAAGGCTACACAGCCAGAGAACCTATGGCAGTGGCAGTGGATGCAACAGGCAACTACACAAAGCTCAGACAAAAAATTCCTGCAGGTTATTATTCTAAAATGTTTTATCCCTCTGTTTGGCATGTAACAATGGAGAAAATAATCACATCTAGAATATTCTAATGCTGCTTTTCTAACTGAATTGACTTTATAAACCAGGCTTCTTGGAAAACATGATAAAGAAGAGGAATGATTTGAATGTCAGATGAGCCAAAGCCATAAAGATACTACTCCAGACTTCATTAAATTCAATCAGAGTTCCAGTAGCTTCATGAGGGCTGACTCATAGATCAAATGAGCCTTTGAATAGGTCCAAAGCTCAGAAGGTTTCTGCTCCAATATTTTTCCCCAATTCTTCACAAAGTCAGTGACTGAGCCCCAAAATCTTCATCCAGATTTGCAGCCAAAAGAAATCTGGTGTTCTGACCTGTCTCTTCTAAAGTATGGCATAATCACAATGAGGTTAAGAATAATCTTGAATCACAGATTTAGAATTTTCACTGGGGAAAAGGATTGTACTAAAGTGTTTCACCTTTTTTTAATCTCAAATTCTCAGCTGATTTTTAATTTTGCTTTTAAATGGGAGTCTGATGTAGCAATTCTTGAATACCTCTGAGCCTAGACTGAGCAAGTTCAGTCAGTTTTGAAAATGTTCTTGTGATAGGGATAAACTTGCAACCTTTTTTACATATTGAATTATCATTCAAATTTAAAATAAAATATAATTGTCAAATGCATGACTTTCACCATCATCTCAATTAAAAACTAGTACCTTTAGTATCATTTTAGTATAAAAGCAATTTTACCAGAAATTCTCCTGGTTTTTAAACATATAAAAACTCCTGCTTTCATTTTTTTGAGCTCTATTTCAGCGAAGGCTTAACTCTGAACAAACAATTTCACCAGCACAACTCATTCCCATAATACCAGGCATGTATGCAGCAGATTCCTCAACCAGGATATGACTTCCAGGCGGAAAGATTTCTGGCATGGAATTACAAATCCTTTAAATTCTTACTTCGACACCCACAGAGAAATGCCAGTCTCATTCTGGGTCTATGTACAGGTACATAAACCCAGCAAATTCAGGGTTTCCCATCATAACTGTGCTCAGTTATTTACTTACTGCCCACCAGCTGGGCTCTAAGATTTGGGATTATTTACTGCATTTGATTACTGTGACCTGCAACTCTATAATGTCAATAATTTTGTGAAAGTATCTGTGACACACCTGCCTCAAAGAAGCCAAACAGGACAGAGTAGATTTTTGCTATCAGCAGTGCCATTATCACTGAACACTGCTCAGGACAGCAGCAATTTTGGTAGACTGGCAAAAGAAAAAAGGGGGAAAAAAGGCCTTTTTGCTTATATTGCCATTATGCCTCAAGCAGCATAAACAATTCCTTCTGCACACGGAATGTTTAAATTCTTTCCCTGTCCCCTCGCATCTACTGAGGGCAGGCTCAGCCTGCACAATCTGATGCTGGGGCTGGGGAATGGAAGGAAAGATCAGAGCCATGAAAATCCCCATCCCTGGAGGAGGAAGAGCCCCGAGCCCCCCTCGTGCAGACCTCTGAGCTGCAGCAGGTTGAGGACATTGGTGGCGGTCCCCAGGAGCAGGGTCCGGCCGCCTTCTATCGTGACATTATCGCCATCTCGCGGCTGGTGGCCAGCAGGCCAGCTGGAGTCCTCGTCCCACCGGCCGCAGAACTGGAGGGCAAGCTGGAAAGAGAAAGATCCAGAGAAGTTCAAAGCACGCCCCTTTCCATCTTTGAAGAAGCCAGTTTGCTCAGAGAACGGGGGAGGAGACGCCAAAGACGCGTCCAGCGTGGCACTGGCATCTCCTCTGCTGTGCTCTGGGCAAGATGACTTCCAGAGGGACCCTGTGAAAGGCAAAGGAATGGATGGATATTGGCACTGGAGAGGTGCTCGGCCTTCAGGAATGCTTGTCGCAATTTGGGGGTCGCCCCTTGTCTCGGTCTGGTCTGGAGAACGAGGGATTTGCACCGGGACCGACCACAGGTTTCCTGGTGTGTGTCTCTCTCTGCCTCCCGAGAAGCAGAACTGCACTGTTGTTCCCTGGCAATGTCATAAAATAGCCTGAAGAGCTTAGAATTAAAACATCCTGCTGGGTGGGCAGTATTTTACCTTAGAGGTGTTTTTTATTTTTCCTAAAGGCTCTCCTGCCGCTCATCCTCATTTAGACAGACATTCCTGTCTCAAATACCTTTTTAGCTTTCTCTCTTTTAGCTAATCCGGTGTTGTTATTGCCTCTGCTTTGAGGGTGAGCACAGCAGCTCCAAATAAAGCGCTGAATAACTTGAAAACTGCTAATAGACTGACTCATGATGTGCAATGGCAAAGCGATTCCTGAGCTCAAAGGTTTCTCCTCATCTCTATACTTTAAGCATGTACTTTGCATGAAGGTTTTATAGAATCACAGAATTGTTTGGGTTGGAAAGACATGAAAGGTTATTTCCTTCCAATTCCCCTGCCATGGGCAGTGACACCTCCAACTTAACCAGGTTGTTTAGAGCCCTGATGGTAAATTTCTTGAAGGTGTGAATAATTTTGCCTGGACACGTACGCATAAGTGTGGACATAGACATCCAAAACATATTACTTGGTCTCATATGTGAACCAGCAAGAACATCCTCAGCTCATCTGAGGTGGTGGAGGGGATGAAACCAGACATAGAAATATTTGTGGTCCTCACTGGGCTGTGCTAATCCAAAACAGCAGCGGAAAGAATAACCTCAAGACAACAGCAAAAGAGAGTTACTCCATTTTCAAATGGAGCACATCGAGTGCATTAAAGCTTTTTCTCAGGAGCTGCAGTTGAGGTGAATCAATAATGGAATGTTATGATTGTTATTCTCTTTTACTGTGCTGTTTTCAGGTTTAGTTTTATGTGCCTGATGTTTTATAGAATATTTCCCATAGTGCTGTCCCTGGGCAACCTGGTCCAGTGGAAGGTGTCCCTGCCCATGGACCTTCAGATGAGCTTTAAGGTCTTTCTAACCAAAACCACTCTAATTATTTAAATTATTAGAAATTATTCTAATTATTTACACCAGGGAATGAGTGATGGTTCCCAGGCTAAATGATACAATAGGTTGATATCCACCCTGGCTGGATGCTGGGATTTTCTACAATCCATTCTAGGATTTCTCTACAAAGGGAATTGATTCAGTTCAGAGTGAAGCCTGGGACTGCATTAACACACAAGGCAGTAGAAAATTCTTGGGAGTTAAAACTCTGGTGTCAGAGGGAGTGAACCACTTCATCATTACCAATGTAAGATTATTGCACAGTTGTTAAGTGTAGTAGGACAAGTTTAATCTTCATTAGTTGTAAATATATATTTATGTAGTTCAGAGATTTAGGACAAATTTCCAGCTGAAAGGATAGATGCCTTTACCCATTATCTTTCAGAGAGGTGGTGAATTACTCTTCATTGAAAATGCTATGAAGCAGATTGCAGAAAATATACAACAGATCCACTGAAAACCAGCTAATTAAACTTGTTTATATCTCAAAGGAGGGACAGTTCACAGAAAGGTGCATACACTGCTTATCAAGCCAACTGTAGCACAAAATTACAAATTCCACAAACTCCTGTCTGGCACAAATGCTGCCAATGCTATCAGCATGACACTGGAGGAGGCAGCTGTGAAACGGTGGGATCCACAGGAACATTTGGTTGAGAAGGTTTGCTGAGTGCCTTTAAGTCTCTTTGATGTCACTCTGACCCTCTGAAATCACTCAGAACCTTTAGCTAACTCTCACGGGCAAGCAAGGCTGTAAGGAATGTACCAGACGTTCTTGCTAGCACCACTTGCTAGCACTTAGTCAGCTGTTGATAGAAGCCCTGCAAGAGTTAAAAATAAATTCCTCTTCTGAATTTACTTTTTTTTCCCCCTTTTAAGATTGCAATTAGGGATTTCTAACTAGAAAATTTCTAACTAGAAAATTTCTAGTTTAAGCTTCTTCATTTAAGCTTCTCTCTACCTAACATCAGTGTTTGAGCTTGATCGGTTCCAGCTGCCACCTCTTAGAGGATTCAATACATGTTCAGTTCTCCCAACACCACCTAGCCCAAAAATCTCAGTGTTCATACACGACAGTGGAATTACAGAATCCCAGAATGGTTTGGGATGGAAAGGACTTGAAAGACCACCTTGTTCCATCCCCCTGTCAGGGGCCGGGACACCTCCCACTATCCCAGATTGCTCCAAGCCTATCTAACCTGGCCTTGGACACTTCCAGGGATGGGCCAACCACAGTTTCTCTTGGCAACCTGTCCCAGGGCCTCCCCACCCTCACAGAGGGAAAAAATGAGTTAATCAAGGTCATAAAATTCTCTATTTTTCCACCCAGTCCATACCTAAAAAGTCCCAGTGAAAAAATGCCTTAGTCCACTGCCATGTGCACCACCTGCCTGTGTGTCTTTCAAGTGATTTCTGACTTGTAAAATCAATATTTTTTAAATATTGTAAAATCACTTTTTGTTCTTTATAAATAAAATTAAACAGATGAACATCAGCCAAATAATACAAGACCAAGAGCTGTTTATAACCACTTGTACTATCCTCGCATTACCACAGAGACAATAAATCCAAAGAATCTGTTTTAGGAGGAGAAAAGGGGGTTTGTTCAAGGAACACACTTTAAATTACCAAAGCATAGAGTGGGGTTAGAGGGAAGGCAGCTCTGTAGGGATTGAGGAAAGACATCAAACAATTTTGTTTGGTGACTTTTCTCTTGCAGTCCTGCACCCTTCCCTAAGATGAAAGATCACCTCCTTAAGATCTTTGAGAGAAGAGGGTGTGGTCTAATGCAAGTTTAGTGAAACTGACACCTGCCCTAAACCACCAGTACATTTTCCTCAACTTTGTGAATCCCATGTGATTATCCTCCCTAATTTCCAGGAGAAAAGCACAGTGCAATCTCCAGCTGCAACAGAATTCTTAAGATCCTTTCCAGAAGGGTGGTGGTGTTTATATCCAGTTCCACTTAAGCAGCCCATGGTAAAATAACATCAGCTAATACACAAATTAATAGCACATCTCTCATTAAGCAAGGCTGGTGACAGAGTCACAACATCCTTCTCACTATTTTTTTTTTTTTCAGACAGGCAAAACTCTTTCTTTTTTCTATTTTTTCCCCTGCCTGGCTCCCTGTATTTGACCTCTGGTGTTTAATTGAAATACTTCTCAGCCTGAAGAGTAGCAGCAGCTGCAGGTGCCAGGGTTGTGGCTGAGTGCCCACCCCACGTGGGCTTGGTGAATGAACCAGAAGGAACCTGCAGAGCCAGGGAAAGCTGTGTGTCAGCCACTGGTGCTGGGCATTTTCCTCCTGTGCTTTTTCCAGCTTCAGGAAAAATGGCAGGGAGCTGAAAAATCAAAATGGGACAAAGAGGAGCTGGCATAAAACAAACCCTGAGATGTGAAGCTGAAGCTGGCCAGCAGCAGCTGCTGCAGTGGGGTGGCAGCTCCATGCTCTGGCTTCAGTGTGCACCAGAGTTGGAAAGATGATTTGGAGGAAACAGAGCTTGTGAGACCACAACGTCTCTGCAGCCATCTGTGTCACTGTCAGAGCTCACATTTGAACATGGCCAATTTCAGCGAGGTTTAACAGGAGAAGCAAGACAACAAAGATGCTGTAATCCTGCAGGGTTTGTGACAATCAATAGATAAACTGGGGCTTGAGTCTCTCCTGGCTGTGTGTTTTATACAACGTAATGGGTTAAATAAACAATTATAACCTGAACTGAACACGTAAAATCATCCCCCAAACTGCTGCAGGATGTGCCCTCACATCACACATCCACAGGAAACCCACACTGGCAACATTTCATATTTTCAATCCAGCACAGCAGATGGCATTAACCCAGTAGGGAGCCAAACCTGCAAAATATGGGCAGAAACCTCTGGGGGTGGGAAAACACCAGCACTGGGAATCCCTAAAAAACCCCAGTTGTTCTTCCTGAGGCACCAAAGAACAGAAGGAGCTGGGAAGGGATCTGACCTGACAATTCAATGAATAGAGTCCTGCAAGTGCTTTCCAGCTCTGACATCCATTTGGAATGTGTCATGCACACAGGAAATTTTATTTGCTAGGGAAAGGTTTTTTATCCAGAGGGAATTTGGGCACTGGAACAGGCTGCCCAGATCAGAGCCCCAAGCTGGATGGAGCTCAGAAGCATTGGGACGAACCTCTCAGGAACATGATGGGATTTTTGGGGTGTCCTGTGAGGGCCAAGAGCTGTACTCAATGATCTTTGCAGGTCCTTTCCCACTCAGAATATTCTGGGATTCTATGCACAACTCATATCAAGCCCAAACCTTGTGTAGCAGGTCCATAGCTTGTTATAACACAGGTTAATTTTGGAGAGGTATCTACTCCTTCCCAATCATATTTTCAAAATAATTATGTAAAAGTAAAATAACATTTTTGTAACATTCAATAAAATACACATAATCTCTTTGCAGTTCAGCACCTTACCCCCTTTCCTGCCTACTGCACCTTCTTTTTTCATTTTCCAGGCAGATTTCTTTCCATTTTATGTTTTTTAGCTGCTGCTGTTGTCAGCCAGGCTGGGGTTGCCTTTTTGTCAGCCTTTGGGGACACATCTCAGGATCAGTTTGTCAGCTTGTGCCTGTGACTACCAGGGCTCAGAAACAGCAGCAACAACTGAATAAATAACAGAGAAAAACTTA